ATATAATATATAATATATAATATATTAGATATAATATATAATATATTAGATAGATATTAGATATTAGATATTAGATATTAGATATTAGATGTGTATGATATATTAGATATTATATATATTAAATATCAAATATAGATTATATTGGATATTAGCTTTTTGGTATATAATATATTATATATATTATATATTACATTATATTATATATCTATAAAATATATTATAGATATTATATATTATATATATTGTATACATTATATAATTTATACGATATAATGTATTATATATGATATATGGTATATATTATGTATTATATACTATGTATATATGATATATGATATATGATGTATGATATATGATATACTATATACTATATATTATATACTATATATTATATATATAATATATTATAAATATTATATTCATATACTCTAATTATATTATAATTAGAATATATATATAATATATATAATATATAATGTCATCTAATATATTCACAATACCTTTTATATATTATAAATATATAAATATAAACACATAAATATAATAAAAATAAACATAGAAATATAAAAATAAACATATGAATATAATAAAAACAAAAATAGAAATACAGAAATAAACATATGAATATAATAAAAATAGAAATAGAAATATAGAAATAAACACATAAATATAATAAAAATAGAAATACATAAATAAACATATAAATATATAAAGATACAGATAAATAAAAATAGAAATAGAAATATAGAAATAAACACATAAATATAATAAAAATAGAAATAGAAATATAGAAATAAACACATAAATATAATAAAAATAAAAATAGAAATACATAAATAAACATATAAATATATAAAGATACAGATCAATAAAAAGAACTGAAGGAATGTCTCTAAACCCCGCTGTGACCCCGACCCCTCTGCGCTGGTGTCGTTTAACGGGAGCCCCTGGGTGTCCCCACAGGGTGGCACCGGGGCACGGCGGTGGCTCTGTGACCCCGTCCCCTCTCGGGTGGCACCGGGGCATGGAGGTGGCTCTGTGACCCTGTCCCCTCTCGGGTGGCTCCCGTTCTGTCCCCGCAGGGTGGCACCGGGGCATGGCGGTGCCCGGGGACATCGCGCTGGCGTACCTGCTGCAGAGCAGCTTCTACGGCCACTCGCTCTACGCCACCGCCTACATGGACACCTGGCGCAAGGACTCGCTGGTGATGCTGCTGCACCACGTCGTCACCCTGCTGCTCATCGCCTCCTCCTACGCCTTCAGGTGCGTCCTGAGCCCAACGGGATCCAGCGGGATCCAACGGGAATCCAGCGGGATCTAACGGGGATCCAACGGGAATCCAGCAGGATCCAGCGGGATCCAACGGGATCTAACGGGGATACAACGGGGATACAACGGGGATACAACGGGGGTACAATGGGGATACAATGGGAATCCAACGGGATCCAACAGGGATACAACGGGGATACAATGGGGATACAATGGGGATACAACAGGGATACAACAGGATCTAATGGGGATCCAACAGGATCTAACGGGGATACAACAGGGAATCCAATGGGGATCCAATAGGGATCCAACAGGATCTCACAGGGATCCAACAGGGATCTCACGGGGATCCAACAGGAATCCTTTGAGGTTCTCACAGGGATCCAGTGGGGATCCAACAGGATCCAATGGGAATCCAGCGGGGATCCAATGGGGATACAACAGGATCTCACAGGGATCCAACAGGGATCCAATGGGGATCTCACAGGGATCCAACAGGAATCCTTTGAGGATCTCACAGGGATCCAGTGGGGATCCAACAGGGATCCAATGGGAATCCCCCTCACCCTTTTTTCCTCCACCCTTTTCCACAACCCTTTCTCCCGTCCCCTTTTTTCCCCCCCATTTTTCCCATTCTCCCTCCCATTTTTTCCCGTTTTTTCCCATTTTTTCCCGTTTTCCCCCCGTTTTTCCCCGCAGGTACCACAACGTGGGTATCCTGGTGCTGTTCCTGCATGACGTCAGTGACGTTCAGCTGGAGTTCACCAAGCTCAACGTGTACTTCAAGCACCGTGGTGGGGTCTACCACCGCCTCAACGATGTCATCTCCAACATCGGCTGCCTGACCTTCAGCGTCAGCTGGTGCGTGCCTGTCACTCATCCCAATCCAACCCCAATCCCAATCCAACCCCAATCCCAATCCCAATCCAATCCCAATCCCAATCCAACCCCAATCCCAATCCAACCCCAATCCCAATCCAACCCCAATCCCAATCCCAATCCAACCCCAATCCCAATCCAACCCCAATCCCAATCCCAATCCAACCCCAATCCCAATCCAACCCCAATCCCAATCCAACCCCAATCCCAATCCCAATCCATTCCCAACCCCAACCCCAATCCCAGCCCCAATCCCAACCCCAATCCATTCCCAACCCCAACCCAAATCCCAGCCCCAATCCTGACCTTCAGCGTCAGCTGGTGCGTGCCTGCCCCTCATCCCAATCCAACCCCAATCCCAATCCAACCCCAATCCAACCCCAATCCAACCCCAATCCTAATCCCAGCCTTTCCTGCTGGGTCTGTGTCCCTCAACCCATATCCTGACCTTATTCCCTTACGGATTTGAGTCCCTAGTGCCTTCCTGACCCTCCTCCCTGCTGGGTTTGTGTCTCTGATCCCGATCCCTGCTGAGTTTGTGTCCCTCACCCCAATCCCGACCTTCTTCCCTGACGGATTTGAGTCCCTGGTCCCTTCCTGACCCTCCTCCCTGCTGGGTTTGTGTCTCTGATCCCAATCCTGACCCTTCCTGCTGGGTTCAGCTCCCTGATCCCACTCCCCACCCTTCTCCCTGCAGGATTTTTGTCCCTGATCCCAACCCCGACCCTCGTCCCCGCTGGATTTGTGTCCCTGGTTCCACTGTCACCTTCCCTGCTGGATTTTTCTCCTGGATCCCATCCCCCTGGCTTTGGCTCCCTGATCCCAATCCCGACCCTCCCTGCTGTGTTTGTGTCCCTGCTCCCATTCCTGATCCCTGATTTGTGTCCCTGATCCCACTCCTGACCCTCCTTGGTGCATTTGTCCGCCTGATCCCACTCCCAACCCTCCTCCCTGCGGGATTCGTGTCCCTGATCCCTCTCCTGATCCCTGATTTGTGTCCCTCATCCCATTCCTGACCCCTGATTTCTGTCCCTGATCCCACTCCTGACCCTCCTTGATCCCCCCCTCCTGGATCCCCCTGATCCCGGTTTTTGTCCCCCCACCATCTCCCGGGGGTTTTCCTGCCGGGAAGGAGCCCTTTGAGGCTTGGCCCCATGCTGGGCTCGGAATCCCTCTGTAGTGCCCGGCTCTGTCACCAGAAATGTGAAATCCTGACAAATGACCCCGGGCAGGAGCAGCGGGAGGAGCTTTCCCAGCTCTGGGAGCCAGGAGAGCTTTTCCAGGCAGGAAAAGGCAAACTTCCAGATTTTTCCTCAGAATTCTTTCTGAATTTCCAGATTCCAGCTCCTCCTGGGGTGAGGCAGGAGGAAAAGAAAGAGGTGAAGGGATGGATGGATGGATGATGGATGGATGGATGGATGGATGGATGATGGATGATGGATGATGGATGGATGATGGATGATGGATGAGCCTCAGTTTGGGAGAAGGTTTTTGGTGAGAAATTCGGGGTGCACAGGACTGGGAAAAACTCCCAAAGGTTTTCCCACCCCGCTCTGCCTCTGCACCAAAGCTTTGGGGTGTCCCATTGTCCTGTGCTTTTCTGGGAGCAGGGATTGGGGATCAGGGATGAGCTGTGCTGGCTCTGGCTCTGTCCTTCCCTTTCCCGGGATCAGGGATGAGCTGTGCTGGCTCTGTCCTTCCCTTTCCCGGGATCAGGGATCAGCTGTGCTGGCTCTGGCTCTGTCCTTCCCTTTCTCGGGATCAGGGATGAGGCTGTGCTGGCTCTGTCCCCACCGAACCCCCTCTGTTGCTGTCCCTGCAGGTTCTGGTTCCGTCTCTACTGGTTCCCTCTCAAGGTTCTTTATGCCACCTGCCACTCCAGCCTCCAGTCCGTCCCCAACATCCCCTTCTACTTCTTCTTCAACGCGCTGCTGCTCGTGCTCACCCTGATGAACATCTACTGGTTCCTGGTGGGTGATCCCGGGCTCGGGACCCCCCTCGGGGAGCTGCCCTGCCCAAACCGGGGCTGGAAAATGTCCCCTGTCCTTGGGGTCCCCGGGATCGCAGGGACCAGGAGGTTTTGGGGCGTTCGGGGGAGGAGGGAAGGGCTCCCTTTGGAATTCCGAGTGTCTGACACCCCGGGGATGCGCGGGGAGGGAGCGATAACAGCAGCTGGAATCTGGGAGAGGTGTGAACGTTCCGGGAATGTTCCCTCTGGGGAGGGGTGGAGAGGATGGATCCCACGGGCAGCTCCGATCCCATCATCCCGGGGGCTGGAATTCTGCTCCAAGTGCCGAACCCCATCCCTGCGCCCATCCCGGGGGGAGCTGCCCTGCCCGAAGTGGGGTGGGGGCAGCAGGAGGAGGTTCCCCCCAGGCTGAGGGTCTGTGCTGGCCTGTCCCGCAGTACATCGTGCTCTTCGTGGCCAAGGTGCTGCTGGGGCAGATGCAGGAGGTGAACGATGTCCGCGAGTACGACGTGGAGGAGAGCAGGAAAGCCGGGAAGGAGGCTGGGATCCCGCTGCCCCAGGCTCTGAAGGAAGGGTACGTGGACACGAGTGGAATTCCAAACTTGTCCCGCTTGGAAATCCCTAAAGTTCCACCCCTGGGACCCTTCCCACCATCCCAGGGGTCCAGGGGCGGCCACGGCCGCTCTGGGAATTCCATCGCAGCCTTTCCCCACCCTCCCAGCCAGGGAATTCCCGATTCCCGATTCCCCATCGGGCCCTGCCCTCCGGCACTGGAGCCATTCCCTGTGTCCTGTTCCTCCATCCCTTGTCCCCAGCCCCTCTCCGGCTCTCCTGGAGCCCCTCGGGGGCTCTGAGCTCACCCTGGAGCTTTTCCCGGTGGGATCCTGGTGGGGAGGTGAGGCTGGGAATGTCGGGGTGACCAAGCCGGGCTGACCACGGGCTCTGCTCTCCCCAGGCTGCACCTCAAGAACGGCCTCGTGAAGGACAAGAGGTTGTGAGGGCGGCGTGGCCGGTGGTCACTGCCAGGACCCTGCCCTGGGACCCTGCAAAGGAGAACTTCACCCCCCTGCCCCCCTGCCAGCCCTGCCAGGACCCCTCGGGGCTGGGCTGTCCCCTGGGGGCTCCCCGGGGGCCACTTCGGCTTTGCTGGCCCGGGTGGGATTCGGGGCTGGCTTTGTGTCCCCCGGTGTTGCTCCACGTTCTCAGCCCCGCTGTGATTCCCCCCCGGAGCCTCCCTCTGCCCCTTCCCAGCCGCTCCTGCCGGCTCCAGCCCCAATCCCGGCGGGGGAAGGTCCTGTCCTGCTCCCGCTGCCACCCAGGGGCCGCACGGGTGACCCTCGGAGGTGTCGCTGTCACCCGCAGCTCCCACGGGCAGCTCCGCCTGGAAATCCACCCCGGGAGCTCCAGCCCAGCCCCTGGAGGAGGCCCAGGAGGTTCCACTGGCTTGGAAAAGCCCCGTGCAGGTCCTGGCGGGGCTCAGAAAGGATCCTGCAGGTCCCTGCTGGGGGGTTCCTCCCAGGACCGGCCCCTTGCTGAAGGAAGAACAGAGAATTCTGCTCCCCGGCTTGGATTTCCAGGAAAAACAGGGAATTCCTGCTCCTCGGCTTGGATTTCCAGGAAAAACAGGGAATTCCTGCTCCTCGGCTTGGATTTCCAGGCAGCTCCAGCCCTGCAGCTTCCCAAGCTCCCTGTCCTGGGCAGGGTTTGGGTCCCCTCTCTGTCCCCTCTCTGTCCCCTCGCTGTCCCCTCCCAGGGACCCACCGCTCCCTCCCCGAGCAGCCAGAGGAGGGAGGGGGATCCCGGGCGTTAATTCCAGGTGTGGGAGATGGGAATTTGCGGGATTTTTCCATGTTTGTTCTGTCACGGCGATTCCCCTCCAGACTTGCTGTGTCTGAGGCAGGGACAGACCCCAGCGGGGCGTCCCCGAGCTTGTCCCTTGTCCCTTGTCCCTCTCCGTGACCTTCAGGGTGTCAGGGGAACATCCCAGGGCTGGAATTCCTCGGTTTTCAGTGGGATTTGCAGGGCAGGAAGGGAACTGAGACCCCGGGATGGGCCGGAGCGGAGCTGGGGTGACCTGGGGAGGATAAATTGAATTTTCCAGGTCTGGCATTGAGCTGCTGTCGGGGTTGTGACATCGGTGACATCGGTTGGTGGTGGCAGCTCTGCTGTGATGGCCTGGAAGGGACTGGCGGGCGGGGGACCGGAGGTTTTGGGACCGGGGGTTTTTGTGACCGATGGTTTTTGGGGCCGATGGAATTTTCGGGGCTGTGTGAAGCAGGACTTTGATGGTTTGATGTGCTGGAGGTTGGCGGCTTTAAGAGAGAAGCGTTGGGCGCCTGATTGAGTTTAAAAAGGGGGATTTTTGGGGAAGGAAGAGCCGGCTCCGGCTCCGGGCAGGACTTTTGGGAGCAGCGCTGGATTTTCCATCCTCATCCATCCACGGACTGCGCTGGAGCCCCGAGAGGACGCTGTGGAGATGCGGGAGAGACGGAGAAGCTCCCGAAAGGGTTAAAGGGTGCCGGGGAGCCTGGAGGGATCCCACCCTCTGCCCAATCCCGGGAATGCCGCGGTGCTCAGCCAGCCCCGAGCCCATCAAAGGCTCCCACCAGGGAATCGCCACCCCCGGGCCGGGCTGCTCTTTGTGCCGGGGCGATGTGGCTGCTCCGGAGCCTCGCCTGGGCTCTCCTGAGCCCCGTCCTGGCCACCGGGCTGAGCTGGCAGGAAAGTTCCTTGTTAAAATCGCTGGGTCTGAGCGCCAAGCCCAGCCCCAGAAGCCCGGTACCGGTGCCGCCCGTGCTCTGGAGGATCTTCCAGAGGAGGAAGGAGCTGCCCCGGCCGCACCAAGAGCTGGATTCCTGCAGGGTGGAGGAGTTCAATGTCCCCGGGAACATCGTGCGTGTCTTCGCTGACCAAGGTACGGCCACGCCGCGTTCGGGGCTTCCCATCGGGGCTGGGCCCCGCTCCTTCCCTCCCTGCCCGGAGCTGGATGCCAGGAGAAATCCCGGCCGTGCCAATTCCCCCCGGGTGCTGGTTGTGGGGAGGGGGGCGGCTGTGCCAAGCTCTGTTCTGGAGCCCCCAGATCCCTCCCGAGGGGCTGGTTTGATCCCAGCCCCGAGCCCAGGCTGGATCCCGGGCTTTGGGATCCGCGGGGCCGGAGGTGAGTGGGAATGTGGGTGTAGGAATGGGATCAGCACCAGCTGGGGCAGGGCTGGGACGCGCGGCTGTGTCCCCCCCAATCCCCCCCATTGTCCCAACGCCTCTGGCTGGCCCCGCGGCACATCTGGCTGACCCCGAGGCACATCTGGCTGCTCCGAGCCGTTCTCAGCTCCCTGGGGGCTGCTCGATCGCTGTCCCTGAGCTCTCAGGGCGCCACAGAGCTCTTTCCTCTCGTGGTTCCAGTTTTCCTCGGGCTGCCTAAACCAGGCAGCTCCCCAAATTCGCTGCTGTTCCCCCCGTCCATCCCAAAGAGCCGGAATTCACAGCCTGGGGCAGGCGGAGGGGGAGAACAATGCCCCAGGCCCCGGAGGAGATGCTGGAGTGGCGGCAGCCGCAGCCCGGGGCCCGGGGGTGCCTCCAGAGCTTCCTGCAGGGCTGGGAGCCCTTCCTGCAGCCCGGGCACCTCCGCCAGCTCTGCCAGCCCCGGCTGCCTCTCGCTGGAGCTCCTGTTGGAGCCCTGGAGCTGATCCACATCCTCATCCCTGATTCTGCCCGGCCCGAGGATTCCTCAGCCCATCCTTGGAGCTGATCCTGCTCATCCCGAGGGTTCCCCATCCCTGGAGCTGTTCCCGCTCATCCCGAGAGTCCCCAGACCATCCCTGGAGCTGATCCCGCTCATCCTGAGCGTTCAGCCACCCCCACCCCTTTTTCTCTTTCTCCTCCTCAGGCCGTTTCCTCCCCGAGGAGCAGCCCCAGGGGTGGCTGTGTCTGCGGAAGCTCCTGTTCTTCAACCTCTCCGTGCTGGAGGAGGGCGAGCGCTTGACCATGGCCCAGCTGGAGCTCCGCTTCCAGCACAATTCCTACCACTCTCCCCGGCCGGGGCAGGTTTTGGAGCTCCGGCTGTACCCGGCGTCCCCCCGGGGGCAGCCCCAGCCCGGCCGGAGGCCGCTGGTGGAGCGCTCCTTTGTCCAGCTGCACAAATCCCTCCTCTTCAAGCTGAGCGCGGCGCTGAAGGACGGGAAGATGCCGGGCAGGAATTTGACCTTGGTGCTGGAGATCTCGGCGAGCTCCGGGGCCAGCGGGAGCCCACGGAGCCTCTGCGCCGGCAGCGACGCCTTGGAGGCCGCCTCGCTGCTGGTGGTGACGCTGGGCCGGCAGTGCCGGGGCCCCCGCAGGAGGAGGAGCCCCCCGAGCCCCCCGGTGACCCCCAGCCCCCTGTGCAAGCCCCGCCGGCTCTACATCAGCTTCAGCGACGTGGGCTGGGAGAACTGGATCATCGCCCCCCAGGGCTACCTGGCCAACTACTGCCGCGGGGACTGTCCCTTCCCGCTGGCGGCAGAGCTCAACAGCACCAACCACGCGGTGCTGCAGACCATGGTGCACTCGCTGGACCCGCAGGGAACCCCCCAGCCCTGCTGCGTCCCCGTCAGGCTCTCCCCCATCTCCATCCTCTACTACGACAACAGCGACAACGTGGTGCTGCGGCACTACGAGGACATGGTGGTGGATGAGTGTGGCTGCAGGTAGAGGGGGACTGCGGGGACGGGGAAAGCGGGGGGTGGTGGATCATGGATGGATCATGGATGGGGGATGGATGATGGACAGACAGACAGACGGATGATGGATGGATGGATGGTTGGATGATGGATGATGGATGATGGATGGATGATGGATGACGGATGATGGATGGATCCATGGGTGGGTGATGGACGGACAGACAGACAGAGAGATGATGGACAGATGGATGGATGGACAGATGGATCATGGATGGATGGATGATGGACAGACAGACAGATGATGGATGGATGGATCCATGGATGGATGGATGGATGGATGACGGATGTACAGACAGATGGATGGACAGACAGACGGATGGATGGACAGACGGACAGACGGAATAAACGCCGGTGTGTGCACTCCCCGCTGCCCTCAGGGCGTTTGGGGGCTCCCCTCTGCAGCGGGGCGGGGCCGGCTCCACGGGGGGTGCTGGGGTTGATTTAGGATTTAGGATCACTCGGGATGGGATTATGGGGTTATGACCACGCCTGGAGCCGGTTCCCATCTCCACAGGGGCGTTGCTGGCACCGGGCTGTGAATCCCACATTTCCCCCCTTGCTGCTGCCAGGCGCCCCCGGGGCTTTTTTGGGTTTTTGGCTGAACTCCGCAGATTTCTCAGGGCATAAAAATGACTTTTCTGGGTGAAACGGGGCCGGGAGTTCCCTGGGGTGTGATCCAGCTGCAGGGACAGGCAGGCGCTCTCTCTTGAGCTGTTTTTAGGGTGTGCTTGGTGAGGGGGTGGTTTGGGGACAGGGCTTGTGGCGGGTGACCAAATGCGCTGGAGATTTTGCTGAAAAAAACAAGGTTTTTCCTAAAGAAATGGAGATTTTACCCAAATCAATCCCCTGGGAGCGGCGTGCTCAGGGCAGGACCCCGCAGGGAATGTGGCTGAGGGAATCCAGGGGGGTCAGCGGCGTCTCCTCCCCTCCCAGCTAATTTAATCAGTATTAATTTACCTCATTTGCAAATCCATGATCCCAGGGTGTCCCTGCGTGTCCCCGAGCAGGAGCCAGGTGGCAGCCGAGCCTCAGGCGAGGGCAGAGCACAGAGCTCTGCGCATTTCTGCTGTTTTGGGTAATTTTGGGTTGATTTGTTGTTTTTGGCGCTGGCTGGAAGCCCCGGGGGCCCTTGGGGGGGTCACAGGGGCAGCAGGGACCCGAATTTGGGACATTTCCCATCCTCAACCGCTTTTCTTCCACTTCCAGCTCCAGGGCTCGGGGTTTTGCCCAGATTTGGAGCCCTGAGCGAGGCTTCCCCACCACTTTTGGGATTCTGGGGGAACTGAAAAGGAATCCGAGTTAGACTTGAATTTTTTCTCTTTATTTTTGAACTGTGAACCCGTAGTGCAGCTTTGGGGTTTTTTTGGGTTTTTTTTTTTTTTGCTGTTTCCCTGTTGCTGTTGTGTCTTTGAGGTCTGATGAAGTTTTCCCACCTCCCCCCAGGGGAATCACTGAGGGTTTAACTGTTTTTATTTTCGTTTTAACACCCAAAACGTGGAGCTGAAGACCCGAGCCTGGAGCAGCTTTAGCTGGATTCCCATTCCCAAATCCAGCAGTTCCCCACATTTCAGTGTTTTAAGGGCTTAACTCCAGCCAGCAGGAGCCATTTAATTCTGATTTTAGACAGGCAGAGGAAGAAAAACCTTCGAGTATTCCTGGCTTTGTGCCCCCCAGGACAGGAGTTTGTGCTGGGGGTGGTGCCTGGACCCCCCCAGACCCAGCTGGGAGCCCCCAAAAGCCATTTCTGTGTTTCCTGCAGGGCAGGGGGAGCTCCCAGGCTGGAAACTTCCCCCAAATCCTGGGGCTGGAAGAGGGTGGGGGGCACTTCCCAGTTCTCCCAGTTCTCCCAGTTGAGTTGCTCACACCCCCTCTGCTATGCACACACCCCCCCACTTTTGTACTAGTCTTGTGTTTAAAAAAACAAAAAGTAATAAACTTGAAGTTTATACAATCAGACTAAAGCTTTAATGAACGTTGCATGGTTTCCTCATTGAAACTTAGGGGCCACCTTGAATGCAAGAGCTGTTTATTCGTATTTTTGTTTGTTTTTTTTATTGATGACAAACAGGTTTTAAAACAAAACTGAGACAGAAAAAAAAAATAATTCAATTAATTAAAAAAAAAAAACCAAAAACGAAACAACAAAAAAAAAAAAACAAAAGGAAGAGTTTTTTAACACCGTGCTAGCACTGATGTCTGGATTTGTAAAACTCAAAAAGAGTTTGAACTGCTACAAAGGAAAAAACCAGCACGAAGCAGAGGCAAGCATTCCCAGCAGTGAAATAAAGGGTGAGGGGAGAGGAGGGGGCTACATTACTCATGGATAGCTTTGCACAGAGGGGTTCAGCTTAAACCTACCCGAAAATTCTACGCCACTACGCAGCCTATGAAGGGAAAAAAATAAAATTAAAAAGCCCTTCGGCAATGTTAATAAATAAAACAAGTCCATCTCACGAGGAAGGAAGGTGGCCTGTGTCTCCATTCTTTCACTGTTTTGGAAGTCTAAACTCTGGAGGCTTTGGATGAGAAAAGAATGGGCTTTGTGAGTTTTTTTTTTTTTTGTGGTTTTTGTGGTTTCTGCAGCTCCCCCCTGGGGTTGGGGGAGCTCGTCCCTCCCGGGCTGGGGGTGCTCTGGGGGCAGATCCAGCAAATCCAGGGCAGGGATCTCCAGGAAGGACAGGAACAAAAGGGTTTCCCCCCTCCCTGGCTACAAAAACGGGGTCTGAGCTGTTTGAAGTACATTCAGATGAGAGGTATTTTGAGTTCCCCCCCCAAAAAAAAGGACTAGAAACACTTGGAGCCCTTTGAGTGTAAAGCTTAACTCCAGCCTGACAACACCCAGGCTCTGGATCCATCTCTGCTGCCAATTGGGAGGTAGAGGTTACTTCCAATTCAGGATCTGCTCAAAAAAACGGGGCTGGAGGAATCGATCCTCTCTCTCTGCGCTGTTCCCAGCAAGGTTTGGACAGAAATGAAAAGCTCCCAAGTGCTCCCCTGTGAGTGTTCCAGACATGGCTACAACTCAGGACGTGGATGGCTTCTCCTCGTGGGCTCCTCTCCCAGTCCTGATCCCCAGCTGGGCTGAAAACTTCGCCTTTAACAAAGCAAAGCTTTTCCAAACCTTTTTTTTCCCCCCCCCCTGAAAACTTCGCTTCAACACCTCACTCTGTCCCTCTCCTGCCTTCATCACCCAAGGACAAACCCCAAAGCCTGACCCATCCTCCTAAACTAAACCCAGCTCTCTCTCTCTCTCTCTCTCTCAGAGGCCACCACCTTCCACCACCTGCCTGCTTTGTCCGTTTGTCCATCCCGCTGCTGCAGCGGCGTGGAGCCTTTACTTCCCGGCCAAAATAATCCCCAATTTCCACTACTCCTCCCCAAATCCATGGGGACCAAAGCAGGCCTGGCTGCACCTTCCCTCCAGGGCCGAAGGGCACAGGAACCCGTCCCCTTTCAAGCATAAAGTTCATCTTACAGAAAGGCTGTTTTTCACAGAGTAGAGTCCAGACAGTTGCCAATTAAAGCATACAGAAAACACTTTGAAACCCTCCTGCTCGAGCACGCAGGCTCCTCTCACTCTCAACTGCTATCCCGTGTAGGAAGAAGAGGCTGATTGCTGCAACTTGAAATCACACTGGAAGTTCTCAAGGATGGTGCTCTAATTTTTGTTTGAAACATCTTTTTTTTTGGGTTTTTTTTTTTTTTTGTCTTTTTTTTTTTAAGTTTTTTTTTCTTTTGTAATATAAGCTTCTCAGAACAAGGATCTAAATCTCCCAGGTCCACCACTAAGAATTCAGAGACAAAACTTCTTAAAAAATTCAGTGCTCCTTTTTTTTTTTTTTTTGAAAGGATCTCTTTAAAACCACCTCGTTCAGAATGTGGGCGACACGATGACAACAAATTTCAGAGCCAGTGTTGGACAACAAAACCTGCACCTCAGAGTTGAGCAGCAGCTGGATTTCTGCTTGGCTGGCTGTCACCCAGGCAGGGACTTTTCTCTCTCTCTTTTTGTTTTTGTTTTGCTTTCCCTCCCTCTCTCAGATACTCTGCTTTTACAATGTAAACACTTCCTGCTAAAATATTTGTGGTTTTTTTTTTTTTTAAGTACCCCCGGCAAAACGAGCCCAACTCTGAGATGAGGGTTTTCCTCTCCCCATCCGCTCTGAAAAGGTAATGCCCTGCTCGCAAAGAGAAGTATGGAATGAAGTGAAACCTGCTTTTTTAAGGCCCTTCTCCGGAGCTGGGGTGACTGGGGGAGCAGGGACTCAGCTGAGCACTCCTGTTGGGGTGAGGTCCGTCCCAGCGAGGCGCCAGCCAGTCCTTCAGGGCTCTCTCTCCTCTCGGTCAGTCTCCTTGTCTCAGTGAGCTCTAGCAGTGGCTCTCGCGCGCGCTCCCTTCTCTCTCTCTCCTCTCCTCTCCGTTGGTTGGTTTCTTTCTCCTGTTGCTCTCACACAGTGGTGCTTCAGTTTTAGCAGTGGAAAACAGGTATCCATTTTATTTTATTTTTTTTATTACCCAGAATAAAATGCTGATGAACTAAGCTCCACGCAAGCTTAGCTCTTCTTCCTCAACCTGGGGGAGGAAGGAGAGCTCGGTCAGGGGGGTCTGCTCACCCAGAGGGGTTAAACCAGGGAGGGACAGATGAGATCAGGGGAGGGATAATTCAAATTAGGAGAGGGGACAGTTTAAATCAGGAGGTGGGACAGTTTAAATCAGGAGGTGGGACAGTTTAAATCAGGAGGTGGGACAGTTTAAATCAGGAGGTGGGACAGTTTAAATCAGGAGGTGGGACAGTTTAAATCAGGAGGTGGGACAGTTTAAATCAGGAGGTGGGACAGTTTAAATCAGGAGGTGGGACAGTTTAAATCAGGTGAAGACAGTTTAAATCAGGTGGGGACAGTTTTAAATCAGGTGGAGACAGTTTAAATCAGGTGGAGACAGTTTAAATCAGGTGGAGACAGTTTAAATCAG